TATGATATCTCGGCGGGCCGCTATAGGCAAGCACTAAGTACCGGCAAGGTGTTGCAGGAACGGAAGCTTCTGGGAAGGTGGCTACAGATAACTCCCAACCCAAAGCCCCAGGTTAGGAGCTTTCTAGAATCTCTAGGCGCTCATCTAGCCTCTATAAGTCACAGGCAGCCAGCACCGGCACCTACCTACGGCTGCTACAAGTATAGAGAGATTAAGCCCCCAAGATCGGAAACTCCTTCCCCTCTCCTCCCGAAAGCCCGGCATGGGGGGGGGGGGGGTGAGCTTCCAACATAGTGGTGCGACCACGCACCAGCAATATCACATCAAAGGTCACCGATACAAGTCCATGACATCGGGGCCGCCGCGCTCCCGAAAACGGGGAATGCTAGAACGCCACAATTTCTCTCCTCTGCGGGGACTACTTGCAGTAACTGGGACTAGTGGGGAGAAAAGCACATAAGAACCTAGACGGCGCCAGTACAGTATCATACGATGGAATTCTGCCAAGACTCTTCCTCCATCTCCTGTTCCATCTCTACCCGGGTTTGGACGCGGGTGATCGGGGCGCGAAAGGATCCCGGAGGCCTAACTTTACAATACTCATAGGAAATAAAACAATGGATTTGGCATAGAAAGTGCCCAAACAGGGAAGGAACACAACACCTCCTAATCCCTGGCTGTCCGATCACACACATCCATACCCGGGTACTGGTGTTCCAAGCCGCAGGGCGAGACGATTCCCAGGGAAATTCTGGTGCAAAAGCGGTCAGAAAATAAACAAAAAGCATCGATGGAAAGGCCCGCGAATCTGTGATTGCGACGCAAAGGCTGCAGAAATGAGGACACAACAACACACCAATGCTGCCACAAGATACAGAATTCTGCTATATTGCCGCTTTGCCCTGCCGGGACTGATTGATATAGCGCATACATATAGACATACATATACGTCTCTATATATATGCGTGCCTCTTTTGCTCCCTGAATATTACGGCAGCAGGTTGATCCGTTACAACTACCGTAAGAACTATAACAATTGAGAATCTCACCAGGACGTTGGACAAGCCTCCCCCAGTGTTGTATGTTGTCTCAGCTGAGGGCTGAAGAGGGTCCTTCCCCCCTTAATCCAAAGGGGGAAATTCTGGACGTCCTCACGGCCTTCGCAGTTCTTACGGGCATGGTGGTCTACAGTACTCGAGTAACTGTATTGAATAGGACGCGGGAGAGCCACACTTGTTTGCTTATTTACAATATTCGCCTCTTTTTTCCCCATTTGAGTTCCATGGCCTACCGTAGTCGAACACCATAGTCATTTGAAAATGGGGACATTGTGATACCCGAAGTGAAAGGGGATCAGGTGGAGGAAAGTCAATGCACAGTCTTAATTCTACTCCAGCATCGTAGTAACGGTAGTTTTAAAAGTTGAAAGAAAAAAAAGAAAAGAAAAAAACTATGATAAGCAGTCGCTCAGCTGTCGATCACTACCATATTGGCGCGTCCATGTTGTCCTCCTTCGTTCTACAGGTGCCCAGGGTCTTTTTTTTTGGTTGGGTTTAGCGGCTGAAAAAGTAAAAACCGGGAAAAAGGAAATAACGTTCCTTTTTTCCACCCTGGTCACCTCGTTCACTGTGCCAGCTTGCTTTTTTCCATGCTTACCGGCAGAATTCCAGAGTGAGTGTCTCGGGCACGGTCGACGGGTATCTCCCGGCGAAGCCCTTAAATGATATCTCCAGAGCATCCAGGAAAAGTAAAAATAAAGCAGAATAGAATAAAATAAAATAAAATATACTCCCCAAAGCAACAAAGAAAGTTCCCTCTTTCCTGTTGAGAGCCGAGATCTGGGTGCCACCGAAACATGCCCTAGGATCAAGGACAACTCGCCTCAGCTCCGGTGGTGTTTCCAGGAAGCCAGGCGCATGATCCGATACCGGTATCTCCTCCGCACCCTTCTTGCCAGAGAGTCCCCCCCTATGATAAGCATGAGCAGAACAACCCAATGACCGGGGTAATACCATATCATTCCACTAGTATCATATCATCATCGCAGAATAATACCGGTATTGCATGTAGGAGTGGGGGCTAATAAACCGGACCAGTGCCAGATGTGTTTTTTTTTTTTTACTTGTGCCAGTTAGTCGTCCGACTCCTCACCGGTCATCGTGATCCGCGATAGTATGAGGATACCGGTATAAGCCACCCCTTCCGTGCCGCGAGCATGTAAGTAAATAACTAGGCAAAAAAAAAAAACTCAAAATTTCATAACGTATGATAAGTGCAAGCAAGAGCAAGGGCTCTGCCAGGCTGGGGGGTTTGGGCACTGGGCGGACACGCTTTCATTTCTGGATGATAAGAGAAAATAAGTCCTTACACGATACAGTAACATTACGAGTTCTCTTGTATAGAGGACACTACAGACACACATATAAGTGCTAACATAAATCTGAGCTTGTTTCAATACCATAGATAGTTGTTATCGTATAAAAAAAACCCCCCCTCAGACCATTGCTATAAGTTACTACCCCAATCACCTAGTGCCGGCTACGATACCCATCATACTGCTCCATGCTAAGTTACCTGCCCTTTCCAATTCCCAAGCACGTAGTTCCTTAACTCACCTGTAACGCCCGCCCCTACCGCCGATGCACAGCAGAAAATCTCACCCACCAGCCAACAGCCCACGATATTGCATCGAATGCATTTCGTGCGGAGGGGCGCTGTGCTCCAGTACCGGGAATGCGACAGCGAGCTACCCAAAAGAAAAAAAGACCCAATCACCCAAGAACTCAAGAACCCAATCGAGTCCATGACACCTCAGATGCTCAACCGGGGGGAAAAAAGTAAAAAAGAAGCACTAACCAACCTCAAGACGAGCGAGCAAGCGACTCATACTATTGCAAGAATGATCAATAATTCCTCTATTACCAATTTGTTTTATCCGTTATTTTCTTCTATCACTTTCCCCCGCGATACAGCATGGAGGAAGATCTTGGTCCCACGAGCGGGAGGGAGGTAGGTTTGGAAGCTTCCAAATCTACGCTGCAAGGCTACGGCGATAACAATGCAGGGAGTAAGGGGAGTGGGGGAGAGAACCCCACTAACCGATAAAGGGAGTAAGGCGTTACCGGTCTATGAACCTCCCGCCCGTTCCCAAAGGTCAGGCCCGGTCCGCTCCCCACGATTCGCTTGGCGGTTCCTGCGGCTTAGAGATGCTGAGGGAGGGCAATGGGGGCGGGGGTGAGTGGGTCGAAGCGTGAGTGCCGAGCGATCATATAATATCACTCGTCCGCCGCGCCCCTCTTTTTTTCTTTTTTTCACCTTCTCTCGTGCTAACCTCGGGGACTGAAGAATCCGAGAACGGGGTGGGGGGGATCCGCTCGTAGCCAAGCGCACGCGTTGTCCCGGTTTCACCGCTGGTCTCTGGTAAAGCCTGGATCTCGGAGAGAGAGGAACCGTGACCAGGGAGGAGTCAGCAAAATTTTATGAGTGTGAAATCTGGGAAGTTTTAAGCCTTGCGCGATCACCTCTCCGGGGAAAAGAAATAAGGATTGCCTCTGATAACATCATACAGGTAGACCTTATTTTTGTCATAGTCATAGTCATAGTCGTCGCAGTCGCCGCAGTTTATGTCCGCGCCCGGATTAGGGGCAGGTGCCAAAATGGGATTTGGGTGAAACCCTGCACCTCTTGTTACTAGAGAAGACCCTCCGGCTCTGTGGTTCTTGTTATGATACTATATCGTACAGGACTTGGGTCGCTTGGTTCGGATGCGACATGATAAGAATGCTGGAGAAAGAGAAAGAGAGAGGAGATACCTGAGAGCGCATGTAAGTTGTCCGCAAACTGATACCGGAATAGTACTTAATTTTTGCTCGCAGAACCTGAGACCTACTGGCTCGAACGGAGTTAAACCGGGGCATATGGGGCCGCTCTCAGTTGTGGATACGGCACCGTAGCACGGATCCTTAGCTGGTATGGCAAGTCCCTGCATATTCGTATCTAGAGCCTAAAACTGGAGGGTCACTTGGACTGGCGCCCACTGGCCGAGAAGGGTTGCCCTTTTGCTTGCTTTTTCCTGTTCTTTCAAATTTAGCTAACCCAGGATGTGGGTTTTGGAGTATCCCACTCGTCCGAACTATTTTGCGGGGGTCTAGTAATTTTATTGCATCATATCGAACAGTTATACGCCAAGTCAGCCTTGTCCCTTAAGAGATCATGGTAGCCAAACTCGAATGCGAGTCTTTAAAGTGAGATTTTTATCCGGGTGTATCGGAATTCGCTTTTTCCCCGACCTGTTATTAATAACAAGAAGTGAACAAAAAAATCGTACTCTGATTTTTAATTTCTGAATTCCAGGAGGAGGGATGATGCAATACTTTCCACCATGTTGTAGTGGAGGAATCGGGAGTTGCGCGGGGCGATGAAAATAATTTCTCATCTAAAGGGATCAAGTCATGCTGACACCAGGCACTGTGTGGTTCGAATATGCCGGAATTGAATTTGCAGGGCGAGAATGTAATCACAAGAGATTTTTGCTCCTTATACTGCGCGCGATGCTCTAGATACAGTAGGGGTATCAAATCTTGATCTCGTGAGATGGACCCTCCTGGCTTCCACGGGAAACAAGCATTTGCCCGTTGTGTTACGATATATTGTCCATTTGGGGGGCGAAAGTCGTGGGAACCCGATTAGGTTTGTACGTATTCCCCCTCTGCATCATCGAAATACTTGTCACTAACGCTTTCGGCTTGGCCCGGATGTTTGCGCTTCTTATTTGTGGGTTTAAACGTGATACCCTTACGACGTTTGAAACCGTCGAACCATCCTCTCGACCACCTATCCCGTAGAATCAACGAACCCCCGATATCAGCTGAAATGCTCTTTTTAAAATAAAATCGAAAAAAAATCAAAAATCAAGGAGGGGCCCGTAGTACAGTACAGATGTAGAGGTTGGGAAGGTTGGGAGCTTGCCTGGGAGTATACCTTTTCCCGCCTTCAGGTGTAGGTACTACATGCTGCGGGTATACCTGCTCAAATATGTTCTTCCCGTTCGTGAAGAACCACGTGCTGTCCTCTATTTTCGTGCCCTTCCCCCTCTCAAGCGCAAACAGACGATGCAGGCGGTCTTCCATCTCCGGCCAATCAGGCTTGCGCCCGCTTCCAATACATTTTGAGCCCGTCTCGCTGTCACGAATTTTCTGCACTTGTCGTCACCAGTCGCGGATGTTTTTGGGCTCAACACCGTATCTTTTGGCATAGTGGCGGACAGACACGGGAGTTTCAGATGAAATGGGAGTGAGCTGCATAGTGCCATTTTCTAGATATCTAGCGTGTTTTTAGTTGGCATAACAGGAATAGTAGTATCATAAGTGGTAGTTCTTAACAACATCTGTCTGTAGACTTACGAGATTGCCTCAAGCTTGTATTCACGGCCGAATGAACGTTTCTTCCCTTTCCACTGCTTCGATGATGGGCTATCGCTTTTCTGCTGCTGTTCTCCATCCTCGTCCGCCCCCACGTCTCCTGCTTCAACTTGACGGCCGAGTCCATCGATTTGATGCCCATCCAAGATTACAACCGGAGGGGGAGAATGAAGGCTAGTAGTGTTACCCTGGTCTTGCGTGGGAGGCTCCACATCATTCTGTGGAGCCTCTCGCTGTCGCCCACTTCTCCATTGAAGGAACTGTTGCCACTCTTCATCAGAAATGTTGCCAGCCAGCGGAACGTAGGTTACCGGCATATTTTGGCACCCGCGAGCGGAAGGGTGAGAAGCTTTCGTAAAAATTTCTTTTGCTGCGTGAAATCACGGCGAATGGGTTGAGGTTCGTGAAGAGCAGAGTGTATGGTACCCAGCTTTTTTTTGTCCCTTTTTTATTTTTTATTATTTCAGAGGGTTGCCCCCCCCTCGTGGGTTGCTGCAGGTGACGCTTTCCCTTTCTCTGGAAAACTTTCCCACATCGCGGGGGTGGGGTTTCAGGGTATTGGTGAAACAATAACCTCTCTGAATCTCTTTCCCCGTCACATTGTTGGGGAGGGGTCCTTTGGTCGGTCTCTCCTTCGCATTTTTTTCATCTCCCCCTCCCCTCGTAATAGCACTCCGCAAACACGAATACACGATACTGATGATACGTATGATAACCAAAGTGGTACCGGTGCCGTGTCCTAATTTATTGATGTAGATTTCATTTCATTTTTTTCTTCTTTCCAACGGCATGATTCTCACATACTGCATCTACCTTGTGTGCGGTGAAGCTTGGGTCAGATATCGTCCCATGATGCACCTGGCATCGTTGCATGACACTCACCTACGTAGGAATGTATTCAAGATCACTGTCTATTATTGTGATATTATTTAATTCGTAGGGGGCGGAATTCCAGCTCGCGACTCTGACATGTTGATTGGAACCACTGCACGCGGGGGTCCATGTGCCCCCGGGGGACATTGGAATCGCTGCTGCGGACGGCCAAAGCTTTGGCTTTGAACTGCTCACGGGCTCGCTTTTCGCGGCATGGCAAATATTCCGGTCTGCATTCCAATCTACTGGAGTAGCATTTGATGAGCGGATGGTTCAGAGTAAATGAGATCCATCAAGAGAGGGCAGCAAGAAGCGGAGTAAGATAGCCAACCACCAGAGCATATATAGCTGGTACCAGACAAATTACAGTAGCGGTAGAGTATGCTAGGGTATCCTTTTCTCTCCCTCGCTCTTATTTACTGGGGAGGGCAGCTCAAGCGAACAAGAGGGCGGGAGCGGGACGGGTTTGGATTGCTCCTCCGAGTGGCATTATTCCCACTCCGAGGTGTGTGTATATTGAACTATGCATGCACTGATACTTCTACAATGATACTAGAGTACAGTACTTTATCGGTAAGTTTGTCCCTGTTGAAACGAGGGTCCGCAAGGTGTGGGCTTTGAGCCATTCTAGGCTAGTTCGGTTCGGTTTGTGCTTTGTGCCGATGTCTAAGGTGCCTGGTGCGTTGTGCAGTGTGAACGTGTACCCGTATTGTATGATACCAGATGTAATTATGTTTCTGGACCCAATCGGCATGGCACAAGGAAGGTAAGGACTACGTTTAAACGTGTTGATAATTGATTGAAGCAATAACGATGCCTTGTGGACGATATTCCCATTTCAGCCCGATTCTTCGTGACCCACTCCGATACAGGTACTTAAATGAGCTACCGGTACAGTACATGTAGGACATTGCCGTTCGGGTCGACTGATTCCCTCCAGGTTCGGAGCCGAACCCTCCGCCTGAGTTTGTTTGGCTAGTTATTTCTTTTGATTGGTGCACCTTCCTCCCCCCCTAGGTCCCGGGGTCCATCACTGACTTTCCCTTCCCCCTCCGAGTTTGGCTTTGAAGGTATTGTAGTCCTTTAATTTTATCCACCGGAAGGTGCCGGTCGCCCGCCCCGGCGGACTGGAGTACGCTTGGCCGTCCATAAAGTATCCGGACGACTATGTGCCAAGACAGGTATTAATCTAGTTGGATGGGTCCTGATACTTTAGAAATAACAAAGAACTGCAGTTGGATTTGGTACTGTAGCTGATTACTGTTAGACCTAGTCCTTTTGTTTTACCCCTTGCTCTTTGGAATTAGGGTGAAAGTCCTACAAAGGTTATTTCTTAATTGTTTGATAGACTGTGATACCTTAATATTTATATTCTGTGTTTGGATAACTGTGAGCTACATCTAGCTAATACTAAATAATGTGCTCTCTATATTTTATCATGGTCTTAAGGGAGTTGAATAGATAAGTGATAGTAACAGGAGCCAATTTATTATCCTTCTTTTCTGACTAGATTGATCAGCTGTAGTCAGAGATTTATTAATATATTATTGACTTGGTAGTCAGACTACCATCCATCGTCTCTACTACACCTCTAGTTATTGAAAAATGTTTCCAAATTAGGAATGACTCAATATCAAGGAACTATCACTACTTTTCTTCAGCCATGCACCCCCCTGCCGGGGGGGTGCAGGCTGATACTCTCCATTCTCCTACCCATTAGGGCTTTTTTCCTACTCTTTTCCTTACCTGACATCTAGTCTCTCCCCGATGGAGCCTTTCTCCTTGCTCTAGAGGCCTCATCGTTGGGCCTCCCTCTCCTCTACCCCTCTCCTACTGCGCCTCACTTAGTATCAGCATGGTTGGCTCTAGTGGCTGGATGATGGTTGGGGGCTCAGTGGGGATGGTGGTCCTCCAAGCTATTGGGAGTATGCCTAGCCTACTTCTATAATTCCAGTTGCAGTCTCCCACTGTATTGCTTAGCCAGACTTGTATTGCCTTGCCTTCTTCCTTTCCTTTCCTTCTGGGTTGGCTGGCACCCTACTGCCTAGGTCCTTTAGCCCCTATTAATACTGAGGTGGTAGTACTTCGGGCTACTCCTCCTACCCTCTCTCCGCATCAAATCACCTGGTGCTTCTCTCACTTCTGTCACCATTGTAGCAGCTCTATATCTCTGGCTTTGGCTCTGATGTTACTACAGGCATCACCCAACCTTTTCCCTGCCTGGCCTCCTTATAGCTGGGGTCCTCCCCCTCCCTCCCTAGCGGTATCAGCTGCCCCCTCCTCTCTTGGGTTACTGGCATTTCTCGCCTGTCTTCTCCCCTCCATGTTTACTGCCTACCCCCAGCTGAACAACCAACTAACCTGCCTTGGTATTACACTGCCTCCTGGGTTGAGTTGGCTGGCCCTGTCCTAGCATTTCACAAAGATCTTACCATGGGCCTGACAGACAGACTCTATGTCTGTAGACGTCGGTAAAGGCACTTTAGGAGTTTCTAGTGCTATTCTTTCTATTGTCAGAGATGATGCTGAAGAGTTTTCTTCTCTCTCTTGCCTTTCCTATACAGGACAATCATTCCTGTACAGGGTGGCATGTACTGTTAGGTCCATATCAGAGAGTCTTGGGGGGTTGTTTTGTTCCCTGGGGTGCAGAGGAATGTGCTTGAAATTAAGGTTTTCTTTTTGCCATAGCTAGTGCTCTATCTAGGTTCTTGTAAAGTGACTCATCAAAAGTCTTGGTGATTGGGTACATTTACACCAAAACTTGTCATTTTGAGGGGTCCCTGAATGAACTCCTATCTAAAACTGAGGCAAGAAATTTTCCAAGTAGTTATATAAGTATCTAGACAGTATCATCCAACATATTAGAGATCTCACTAGCCTGTTCCCACCATGCTGTGGCTTCTCAAAGATACTACCTGGTGACGATGTGTTGCTATGGCAACTATCTCCATAGTAAACCAATGATAATGACAACTTTTGGGTGATGGTACAACTTTACTAGCTGCCCTCCTCAAGACCTTGAGGATGTATCTATATTAGTTGAATATAATTCTTAATTAGCTATCCTTCTCAAGACCTTAAAAATATATCTATTACAATGGTAGGTAAATTCAGATTAGATGTGCTTGTAAAGACCAGAAGTTTTACTATGATAGTTAAAAGAAGGACCTATTAGAGTTCATGAAAAAGAAATTTTCTATAATATCTGAACCAGCAACCATATCTATTAACTATAGAGAGAGTTGAGTCATAGTGTTTTAATAAACAGGTAGAAACAAGAACAGATAGACTTATCCACGTTCCAAGCAAGTACATGTAACCAAAGAATCAAAGCAACTATGAGACCCTCCACAACAGCAACATTTCTGAGCCTCCTCTCTAATACACTCAATTCTCCAACCATTGACTTTAATAGCACTAACAACCCGGCCTGGAGGCTGGATTGTTTGTAGTACCAAGTCAGTTCTTGTTCCATAAAATCTCCTCCAACCCCATACTTTAATTTGTGCCATTGCCTGGTCCTCAAAAGCACAACGGATTTTATCTTCCTGTCCTGCCCATGTTGCTAAGCGTATTTTAAAAACACAGCATTTACCACCACGGTATCTCTCCACCTTGGTGACGTATTGGAAAATCGTAATTGGGCCGAGAGCATCTTCGAGATTCTGTTCCGACCGAAAGCGAACTTGTAGGGCAGGGGTAGGATTGGTCCGCTCAGAAGACTGCCATGACATATTTGGGTTTGAGAGGTACGATACTGCCTCTGGAGATCTATTCGACTCAGCTAGTACTATAATAGTAGCGTCCACCCAATCAGCCATTGAGCCCTTGTTGGAGAATTCAGGATCAATGGCTATATAGGCAAAAAGACCCGAAGTAGCGACTTCAATATTATGGTCACGAATAGGATCCTGCATCGCTTTCTCCTGTGTTGGTTGGCGTTCAGTCTGGTATATGCTGGCACCGGTTTCGTTTTTCTCTTTGGCCTTCTTTTAAACCCCGTGGTCCTCATATTAGCTAGGCTTTAATATCAGAATAGAATCATTATCTTACTTTCGGTATCTTATAAGGTTTGCCTGCCGTTTTCTCGATTCCAATATCTTTATCATCCTTCAACTGGTTTGACAAGGTATTCACATTCTGTTTAATGTGCTTTTGGCGTACTTGTCGGACCTTTCTTGCCTCCAGCCGCTTCATCCTGAATGCCAAGTTTGCCTTTTCGCCAGCTGACTCGGAGTCTCTGTCAACTTCTAAAACCAAAAGAAAATTAATTATATCTCATAGCTCAAGGTAGATATTATACGTACCATTACAAGCCATATTGTCAACATTAGTAACAGTCTCGGAAACAAGATATAACTCAATGGTGCGATCAATAGCTGGTACCAAAGAAGCCGAAGGAGTTGTAAGATTTAGCGTTTGAGATAGGACAACAGAGGTATCATTAGATCTCGCAGTTTGACTGGTTGAGTTAATGTTGTCCGTAAATTGTTCTTCATAAGACTCTTGACTTTGTGAGTTTGCTGCCATGCTGTAGAG